GAGTAAAGTTCCAGAGCCCAAGCTGTGCGTGGAGGTGAGCCCGACTATATCTAGCCGGTACCTCTCAACCTCCTGCACAAGCTCTGGCTTTTCCCCCGCCAGTGAGGTGACATTCCATGTCCCCAGGGCTAGTCTCCGTGTCCAGAGATTGGGTCGTCGGGGCCCGTGCCTTCGACTGCTGCCCAATCCACTGTGCACCGGCCCCTTACGGATCCTCCTGCAGGTGGTGGGCCCACGGGAAGATGTCCCCACATCGCTCGTTTGGGCTAAGCCCGGCCAGGCCCTGTGAGGGGAGGCCCGGCCACCAGGCGCTCGCATTTGAGCCCCAACCTCGGGCCTGGCTCCAGGGTGGGGCCCCGGCTGCGCCATGCCGGGCGACATCACGGTCCTTGATTTTAATCTATTCATAAAGGGCTTTTGACCCGCTCTTAGTCTGACCCGTCACCCAGGACCTGTTTGACTTGGGAGACCCTACCAGGGACATATAGCCCCCGACAACATAGCTCCTAGGATCACTCGGGTACTCAAACCCCTCCACCACAATAAGGTGGCGGTTTAAGGAGGGGCAGTCGAAGACATGTGGTGATATTTCAGTTTAATTATGTTTTGCTTAAGAAAACATTGGAAAAATGGAAAAGATTATTGTATCGTATATTTGTAGTACTGTATTTTATACTTGTATAAAACAAAACAAATTTACCTTACAAAAGCTCCTGTAAATGGTCGGCTTTATGTCATAGTCTAAGACACAGACGTCTGTAACGTTAAATGTGATGGAGTCAGCAGTACATGCACAAGGATTTTTCCTGCTGTGACTAAGGCAGGAAGATGCATCCGAGTGGAGTTTGAAGGCAGGAAAAGAGAAGTCAGGTTTGTTCTGCCAAGAGTTCACTGACTTTCCTGCTTCCTCAGGAAGAACGTCCAGAGATAAGACACATTCACTGATGCTGACGCCAGAGACTAGATACAACAGAGTGATTGGACCGTCTCATTTTGTCTCTATACCGTTTATCAGACTTCACCCTCACAAATATTAGTCTTAAGGGAAGGATGAAGAGAATGTAAACACACTGAACCTGGTGGCTTTTCTTCAGCCTTTACCTGTTGGTGTGTTTGAGGTCGGTTCAGCTGACTCCTCTGTAGCCTTGGTGGTGCTAGTGACTTCCTTATGGGCCCCGGTCTCCTCTTCCCTTTCCCCTGTAGACTCTTCCTCTGAAGACTCACTACGGAAAAGGAAAGGAAAACATGTCACTTAACACAGGTGGCAGTTTCCAAAGTGATGGTTCACTGCCACGTCCTCAGGGATAGCCTGAGGCAGAAACCTGACCCTGCACTGAGTTACAAGGGGAAAACCATGGCTCCCAGGACACTGTTAAGGTTCATCATCTGCATCCTGTAATCTGTACACATATTCAGAGCTTAAAAGATAATTATGCTATGGTGTTTTCATCCGGAAAGTACGATAAACTAGGTATCAAGCTAGTAACATTGTGATTCCAGCACTCTAGACCAGTGTTTCTCTGCCTTTTTTGCCTTGTGCAAAAACTGTACAAAACCAACTCGGCGTAAAAATTACCTTTTGCCTGAAATGCCTGCAGCTCTCAGAAAACGGTAACCTTGCTTGAGATTATTTCATTTGAATCATTTTTAGAGGCAAGAAGAGGGAAAAACGTCCACAGTAACATTTTGAAGCAGTAAAATGTGTTTGTTCTTTTTGTCTAACTTATCGTCATCTTTATCCTCAGATTCAGCTTCTACCACCCAGGGTCGGGACTAAAGCTCTGGAGATGGTCGTATCAAGGCGATGCGGTGTGTTTGTGTGCACGTACTTTGCTGTATCCACAATGCCGTCATCCAGGGAGGCTGGGCTGTCCCCTGCGCGACAGGATGACTCCAGGATGCCGCTTGCTTTGGGAGGCTCCATCATCTCTGCTTCAGACATGGCGGTGGGTTCGCACACAGTCACTGAATGAGACAAGTGACAGGACTTGTTAGCTATATTTGACCACAACATCCACAACAAGGAAAATATTATGGAGGCTGATATCTGCTGCATTGGCACAAGGGTAAAACGGCATCAAGGAGAATCTCCTCAGGGACTGAACAAGGGTTTTGGCACTTTTGTTTTGAAAATATATGATGCCAGACACTCAACAGCAGTACCCAACAAATATTTCCTGATAAACAAAACTAAACACACACTTTACTGGAGTAAGATTCAAGCTTGAACTGAGAAAATATGTCATGACTGAAAGAAGATAAAGATGAAGATTGCTCCTGTAAGCCAACTGCAAGAGTGTAACACCAGCATGTTGCAGTCAGCAGCATGTAGCACTCATAAGATTGTACCTGAGTGTTGTTGGCATCAGGTCAGAGTACTTTTTTCATCCCTGTATCTGGCTCTTGTGCAGGTTTCAGTGTAAAATTTGCTTTTTAGGTATTTCATTAAGACTTGAACTACCGGTCCAAAAATGTGAGATCACCTCCATATTTTCTGTTTTTATTTAGACATTTTAGCAGTTCAGGTTCAGTGAATATCCTGATGGTATAAAGCTACAAAGTAAACTGCAAGAGGTACAAAAAAAAAAAATCTAAAAATATGTGTAAATTTCATATAAAACAGACCTTTCTCAGGGGTCAAGCAATAGGTTAAACTCTCTTTTCTGCAGTAATGAAAACTGTGGCAAACACTTCCTTAAGGTGTCCCAGCATTTGTTGGCAAAAAATTTGCATAAAGACAGTGTTGCAGAAGAAGGTGTTACTACATTCTCTGAACATTTTGATTGGGCCATTAACAAGGAAGTCAGAGCTCTTCTGGGTTTTTATCTATAGCAGGATAGTGAGCCGAAAAAAATGGAACAAGACAGTAGGTCTAAAATGATGGAATGGAAGCATAGTGTCCAGACTTTCTAGATGAAAAGCAACACATTTGTGCTATCTGTCCAAACTATTTGATTATAGTTGTAGAAAAAAAATGCCACAAGTGTGTTCAGCTGTTGAATAGTAACAACTGGAAAATGGAAGGGTTCTAAAACCTTTGAGTAGTAACATAATGCTGTGTTTCCACTACCAGAACCTAACGAGCAGTATACCCCATACTTCCCTTAGCCATCATCAGGCAACCCCCAGGCCTCTGGGGTTGACACAGACCTGTCCTGCTTTGATTTTCCACTGCATTTTCTCTGTCGGGCTCTCTGAAGAGGAGGGAGGGGCTGCTCAGTCAGCTATGTGTTTACACACTGTGCTTGTAACGTTAATGCTTGAGGTGAACATGCGGACATTGAACCAGTCACTGGTGACTGCTCTGTGCGCATGCACCCCCTCCCCCCTTGCGTTCCTGGTACTTGGTTTTAGTACTACCTCCTGAGGAGTGCTGAAATTTAGCTCATAGAACACACATCCAAAGTGGACGCACCATAGTGGAAACAAACCCGTGATGAGTGTTACATGGTGCATGTTTTGGTAGGTTCCTATAATTGAAAACCCCCTTCAGTGACTCTAAATGATGCCTGACCTCTGCTGAATGAATACAACCATAATGTACACAAAGACAGGAGATCTCTTGAAAGGACCAGTATGCTATTATCAACTTATCATCCTTGTTTACAAGCTCATAAATTCAGCTTTAAACAAATATTGTCTTTGCCTATAATATGACTGCTCTTTTTAACAAACTTTGGATGTATAACAACAATGTGTGGAACATACAGTATGGTGCCTAGCTGGAAATGAGGAGTCTTACAACAGAAAACATCTTTCTATGAATAATTTACTGCCTTTCATATCAGTGTTTGGTTAACAAAACACTTTAAAAATGTTTCAATAGCTCTCAAGATCTAAAGGATGGATGGATAGATAGATAAATGTATATAAAGCAAAATCTGATTATTATAAAGCCACATTTTGAGGTGAGAGTGTAAAAGACAAAGCCAAGTGTGACAATAGAGGACAGAAAAATTTTATTCTCATCTCTCAATCATATAGCATCATTTTCACGTTAGCCAGTTTGTAAAGGTTAACCAGTACAGAAGGAGAATCTATTACCTCACCACAGAAACCACGTCAGAGCTCCCCAAACAATAGACCATTTCCACTTGACCACCGTCAAACCTACGCCTCCACAATGCTCAAGTCACATGTCTAAACTGTTTAAGGTCAATGAAAACATATACCAGTGGATTCGCCTGCCTGAACAAAACTGCCAGCCTGAAATTAGGGACTCTTAGGAATAAACATCCATCACTTCAAAAGGGCCATAGGCCATCATCATCGTTTTAAGTGAAAATCAATTGTAGCTTGTTACTGACTCCTATGAGGGCTTCAAAGTCTGTCAGCTGAGGAGACAGATGTGTGACAGGAGGGTGACATCACCCTTGCTCACATGGACACCATCAAAGTTTCCATTTTATTTTGCCTCTTCCTTTCAGTTCGGTTCCTCAAGGACACAGCTGTGTCACTGTTTCCACCTGGGTTTGGTCACTTGTACCCTCCAAATCTGGATGAATATACAATAGAAATCAGACTTGAAAAAAATCCTAAGGCTATTTCCTGCTGTCCCATTTTTCCATTCTTCCCGTCATACACTGGATCCATATTGGTCCGAGCAATTTCAACATCACGTTTAGATTAAGGTGCATGGAGCTGACTTGGCTCTGGTGTGACAAATGCCCTGCAACCGCAAGTATTACTGCATTCTTTCCTCCAGTCTGCCTAAAATATCACAATTTGTTTGTTGTGGTGTAGTATCACTTTCAGATTTGACAAAATTCAGTTGCCCAATGTTGTGGTTTACCAATACAGGGTGCATTTGTGGGGTTGCTCTTCACTTGTCTGTTGGAAGCAGGGCTACAAATAACAATTATTTTCATTATCGATTAACCTGATTATTATGTTTCTCAGATAACTGACTTGTTTTGTCTATAAAATGTCACAGAATATTGGAAGATGCAGATTAGTTTCACAGATGGCACGATGACATGTCTCCTTTTGTTTGATCCATTCCTCTGAACAAAAATATTAAATTTACAATAATATAAAACAGAAAAAAGGGAACTGCTCTGGGGCTGAAAAGAAATGTTTTCATTACTGATTAATCACACCATTATTTTCTCAATTGTTTATGAAATGCCAAATAATTGTGAAATGAACTTCCCAGAGCCCAAGGTGGTGTCTTCAAATGTATTGTTTTGTTCAGTCAAATGTTCAGAGCCCAAACATATTTACTATGATATATGACAAAGAAAAGCAGCAAACTATCAGATTTGAGAATCTTCTTGAAAAAAGAAACGGTTACAAAACATTTGCAGATTATTTTTGTCTTTAATTAACTAATCATTGCAACTCTACTTCAGAGAATCCTTTTAGCCTATGGGAAGAATTTCTGTAACCTTTTGTCATTTTGTAAAGTTTCCTTGTCGTGGGTCAACACAACTAATGCCTGTGATATAGCTGGTGGATTTAGCGCTGCACAAGCTGAATGGCATTCACCAGAGGTTTATTAATGTAGAGCACGGATGTGCATAGCAACATCTGAGGCATTCAGGAAAGGAAATGCAACACTTTTGTTTGATTAATACAGAAGGAGCCAAATGCGTCTTCTCTGTAAATAAATCTGAAAGCTATCATAAACCCATCCTCAGCCAAAAACATGGCCCACAAAAAAGGAGGGGCTCTTCTCAACACAATACATGCACACTTCATTGAGGTTAATCCTCTGTCAAACAAAACCTCTCCTGCCACTTTTGTCTCACTGTTGTTCAAACACCTACACTGTATTTTTATTAATCAGTCCTCTGAATATATTGTAGCCTCGGCTGGTGGCTGCTGCGTCTGCACAGCACCCAGCAGGGCAGTTTACAACTGGGCGTAATTCTTAGCATCCTCACTGTGCAGTTACCCTGCCAGATTTCACATTTGTGTTCCAACTACAAAGATTTGAGAGCCAATGCAGACATTTTGATCATAGACAAGGCTTTAAATACATCCTATTAAGGCATATTCACATGGATCTGTCAGCTGGGTTACACCCTTTTGCCTGAAATTTGCTTCTCCACGTTATCAAGACGTGACTGCACTATTCATTGTATCGCCTTTGAAATAAACAAATATATCACAGCTGTACCAATGATCAGTCTGAAAATGAGCTCAGCTCAATTTTATAGCTGTAAATTAATGTAAGGAAATGGTTAAACCAAATAACCTGGAAAATAGCATTGCGACATAAAACCTGAGGAAATAAAGCAACTTAATTTATGTAAAACCATAACATCATACATCAGCCATGCAGAGAATCAAGATGTTTTCTCGAGGGTCATTATCAACTGGTTTTTTGTCAAACCTGATCTGTCAAAGTGAAAGCTGCAGTTCAAGGTAATAGGACTACATCGCAGCCACATGAATAAAATTGTAAATTGAGTGAAAATACTCACATCGCATTGCTGGAAACTAGTTATTTTCCCAGGTTCGTCACACCTTCCCTCAAACACACCGGTATACCAAAAACCTACTGTGGCTAGAACTTGGTCAGCATTTCTTTCATTGAAAGAGAACATTCATTGTCACAAACTAGCCTGCTGGGCTGTTGGTCCCTCCCCCTGAAACCCCACCCTGGCTTCCTCCAGACACCCTCCCCCAGAGCAAGGTTATTGGCTCAATCTGCTCACACCACACAAGCCATACTCCCCTTTTTTCCTCCCCAATAAGACTGCACAAACCAAATGAAAGAGGAGGGGGAAGTGGCTCAGATGACACACACATTCCCTCTTTGCAGATAATGCTATGAAACTCAAACCCATCCTCCTTCATTGAGTTATTCGTGCAGAACTGTATGCCGGCTGGGGTTACTTTCAGACGAGGTCTATGGAAATGTTTCTGAGGACAGATTATAAGTGTATGACTGAAATCATTCTTATGCATTTTGCAAAGACACCTACGTCCTGTGACCTACATTTTTAAAAATGTTACACATTTAATTTAATCCCTTTGTTTTAGATTTAAGTCACTTGAAGCTGCATATAATCATAATTTTCATTATTGGATCATCTGCAGATTATTTTGTCAATTGCCTGACAGAATATCAGAAAATTGTGAAAAATCTCCATCTTGGTTTCCCACAGTCCAAGGTGACATCTCTAAATGTCTTGTTTGACCAACAGTCCAAAACTCAATGTTTACAAAATTATAAATCAGACAAGCAGCAACTCCTCACAAATATTTAATATTTTTTGCTTGAAAAATTGCTGAAATTATTAATCGAATATCAAAATAGTTGCAGTAAGGACTTCTAATGTTTTTAGAATGTTTTCTTGACAATATGTACTTAACATCTAGTGACGGTTGTCTTTACTTTGGTAAAGGATCTGAATACTTCCTCCACTGTGTCATAAAATAGATACTAGAGTTGCTAGTCAGGATAAACATTGCTGACTGCATCACAGAAGTACTAAAAATATGAGCAACCAGGAAGCTACTGCTGATAGACTGAATTTCTTCAAAGCTAATACTGTGGCATAACACTGTTAGCAACCCTAATTTCAGTCCTCTTTCACACATTTTAACAATCCTGTACTTCTAGTTCTTGGTAATGAGCTGACATACAAGGTACTGAAACAAAGGCAAGGGGCTCAATAGAGGAAACAAGGAACTTCTAGCTATAAAACTAAAGCAGTAAAAACTGACAAGAAAATCAGGTCATGCAAATATCTGTGAGGAAAGTGAGAGTGGGGATTCACAGTTATAAAGATATTTTATTTTTAGCATGCAGGTTATTCCAAATGAGAGTAATTTGCCACACACTCACTAAAATTCATCTAACTAATTCACTAATAACTTATCAATAAAGGACTTTCTAAAAAGTCTGGTTTAGACCAAGGGAATTTCCTGTACAGTTTCCCCTAAACTTCTGCCTCCATCATTCAAGAGGTCAAGTAGTTCAAGTAGAGAATTTAGAGAACACACAAATCTCCTACAAACTCTTTGCTAACTCACAACATAAAAGCTGATTTTATACATTTAATCCCAGAAAACACTAAACAGGAATGTTTTGCTATCTTATTATCGCTATATAAAAATACACTTCCATCAGCTGAAAAACATTCACATACAATTCATAATGGTAAAAAATGGTAAAGGTCTCTGTATAAGTTATTTTCATATGGTTTACATCACATTTTAAGATCAGTCTTTAAATGGCTCGTGTGTACACTCACTTGACTTAACAGAATGTGACTGTAGAAAGATCAGTCTCAGCCAATTGTCAAGTGAGAGGAACTCACCCAGCTACCACACCATAGCATCACATGACAGCCAGAGGCCGTGTGCACACACTGAAGTGCTGCAGGATGTGTTTAGTGCTGATGCAGCCTGCGCTGAGGTTACTGCCGGTCAGTGACATCCTCTCTCAACCCAGGCTCTGCTGAGGTGGCGCTGTAGTGCAGTGATGCAAACATTGAGCTTCAGTGATAAAGTATTTAACATTTATACATGGGATATCACTAATCAGAAATTTCACAGAAAAATAAAGTATATATTATAGTATAGTTTTAGTGGACTGTTATTAATGTTATATTGTCATAATGAGCATGTTGTAATATGTTTTATTTGAAGTGTCAAATAGAAACAATATAGTTCATATTAACAAGTTTACTCCTGGTTTGCCTTGTAGGCAGGACAATTTGTCTTTATTTATCAAACATATGTCTTCATTTATCAACAAGACCTGATAAAGTAATCATCTAACACAGTAACTGCAGGTTTTGCCACAACATAGACATATGCTGCCACCATGTGCTGAAAAAGGTAAATGCAGACAAACTCTCAAATGGAACACACTCATGAACATAAACACAGTAACTTTATTTGTAGGGACAATTAAGACTTTATAGCCCACACTAGTTTGCCCAAAACAGGCTTTTAAAATAAACAAATCTTGAAAAGAAAAAACTTTAGTTGGACTTAACCGTCTTGCATGTTAGTTTCTGAGAAGACACAAACAATGTACAAAATCACATTATTCATGACTAAACAGCTGATCCCTCTTTAACAGCCGTTACAGTATGAGTTCCCAGTGGACAATTGGGTTTCTGAGCCAGAAACCTTGAGAGAATCTATCACCCAAGAAGTTAATGCAATAACTTAAATGGAAAAGGTCATAAAATGCATAAATAAACAGTGGTTCAAAAGTTTTAGAACACTTCCATTTTCCGGTTGTTATTAGTGTAATTCAGCTGCTAAACACACTTGTGGTATTCTTTTTATAACTGAAATCAAATATTGTTTGGATAGATAGCACTGTTGCAGAGGTTCCCACATGTGTTGCACTTGTACGTTGCTTTGCTTTCACTCTGGGCCCTGTGCTGCCGTTCCATCAGTTGAAGCTTCCTGTCTTGTTTTTTTGGTTGTTTGCTTCAACACAGCCTGAAGATGTTCTTTTATTATTTGCTATCCTACAGCAGGATGAAACCCTGAAAAGGTCTAACTGACTTAGTTATTCTTTCTTTTCCATAAAATACTTCAGAGTAGTAATGCAGTCTTTTCCAACACTGCCTTTGATTATATACTTTCGTTGACTTACAACAAAGAAAGTTGGGACACCTGTAGGAATTGTTTGCATCAGTTTTCAAGGCGTCATTTCTGCTGCTGCAAAAAATGTGTGTTATTGGGCCTGTTTATTATGAAATTTACATACATTTTTAGTTTTTGGACTTTATTTTTTTACAATTTACTTTTAGCTTTGTAGCATTTTAGGTTATTCACTGGATTTGAACTGCTGCGCTGTAAAACAAAAAAACAAAAAAAAAAAAAGGAAAAATGGGGGTGTTGTAAAACTTTTGACAGTGTACAAAAATAATGTTAAATACACAAACAACTTGTGCCAGTCCGAAAAGAGAGAAGCATCATCCGGATAAACTGTACGGAGCTTACCTAGCTAAGACGACCTCCTAGTGGTTTAGTTTAAATGTACAGTTTACTTTCACTGGGCGGAACTCTTGTGAATTTGGCCCCTCCTCTGCATAGTGAAGACCCTGACGTAGTCGTTCGAGGGTAGCAACAGTTGCCTCGAGACCCCGTCGCGCCATAGTGACTGTAGCCGTGGAGACAGTTACTTACCAACGGGCGCAACACTCAGCAACAGCAGCAGGAGCATCTGGAAGTCAGCGAACGAGTGGTAAAAAGAGGAAAGAGAGCAAAGCCAGGGCAGAACTTTTCTCAAGGCAAAGGTGACTATATCCTTATAGCGTTTAGGAACGGAATTGATGTTAATCTGGTGAAAAATGCTCTGGGATCGAGTGCGTCGTTAGCAGTATTTATTTTCCACAACATAACTTTCCCTTCCTTGTGGCATCCGCCCCGAGTTGAGAACGGCTTTCCACTGTTAATAGCTTGTTGCACCCAAAGTCAGCTTGGGAAAAACATCTACTTCACGTCTGCTAGTTATTTTGCTACACTTTGGTTAAACGTTACACACGGCGTCAGTGTCACTCCAACATCACTTTACACTTGTTGCTACATTGTGTAGTGTGTGTCGAGATGTGAACGCACTTCCAGCTCAATCCTAGCAGGATGGATGTTAGGCTACCAGTCAAGCTACAGCTAATGCTAGCTTAGGCAACCAGTAGCGTCTGAGTGCAAGTTCATTTGTGAGTTTAGGCGTTAATTTCTTTGCTAACGGGGGCTCTGTCTTGTTCGTCACAACTCTTCTTCATTGGATGGTCTTTCTCAGAGCCGTAGCTATTCAAGCAGACGCAAATGTGGCTAACTAGCTTCGGCAACGTTAGCCTTGGGGCGCAAACAGTAAGTCCGCTCCAAGCAAGCGTGTACTCATAAAGAGGACAACTTTCAGTTTAGCAGGCGGGGTTTTTCATTAATATGTCTGACTTAAACTGAACGGAATGATTTCATTCAGTTGAGCATGGATATATGAAGTTCTACCCGGTTCCGTTACGACTCTAACCGTTAGAACGTTACCAAACATGATGCTTCCAGTCGTCCTCATCTCAGGAGCGCAAGTTAGTAAACTGTCAAGATTAAATCATGTTAAGTCTATTATGTAATATGAGCAACCTGAATATAATAAAATTGGCATTTTGAAAAGTTGAAGTTTTTAAATATTTCATAAATGGCTTGAATAGCTGGATATGTTACAGCTAGGTGGTGCTATGATGGCTCTTTTATACGGCTTTGTCTTGTTTTTTCAATCTTGGATGGACTGTTAAAGTGCTATTTTCTGTGTTTTACTAAAGCTTATCATTCAATACAATATGTTGTGCACTTAACAGTAAGCAGAACAAATCACTGGACCTGACTTTTATCCTCTTATTTCAACATGCATAACTGTACTTCATCTAGTAGTCTTTCCAGTTTTACTGATGTACCTGATGTATAGACCCAAAGCAAATGGCCAAGTTGTTTTCAATGGCACTGCTTCGTTTTTCAAGTGGCAGGTCTTATATTTGACCTGTCTGAGGAGTTAAAGGCTCATAAAAATCATTGCTATAGAAATAACGAGATACCAAGGAAAGTAGAGCCCATCATTTTAAATTCCTCCTTTCATTAGTTTTGCAGTGTGGCTGTGGCTGGCTTTCTTTTTGCATACCTTTTTGCTCCTTTTGGGATCCTCTCTCTTTTCTCTCCTGAGATACTTAATTCTAACTATCTTTTCAGGGAGCTGTCAAGTGTTCAATCATTTGTAATGATGCTTGCTATTGAAGCATTAGGAAGAATCGTTACAGCGTGAAAATGTCTCAAATTAATACCCTTTCTGCTTGCTACTAAGGAGCTAAATTAAACTTTCAACTGTGTATTTAAAGAGAGATGAAAATTTCATTTAATGAGATATGAATGCAGCCTAATATCTGTTCTCTTAAGTGAAAAGCAGTAAAAGTATGGTTATATTAATCATAATTATTATATTAATCATAATGTTAAAATGTAATGTTTGTGAAGATATCCACTCTCCATGATTTTACTCTTTATTGGCTAAAATATTTGAGGCATGTGCAGTATTCAAAGACTCCAGTTGTTTTGAAGTGTCTCAGAAAGAAACCTGACTTTGACTGGACAGACTATTCTCTGCAACTACAAAGAAAATAAATAGACGACTGCGTTGAAACTCTTTGTGTAACCCCCACCATCCTCACCCCCCAATTTGAGCATGGCTTTGTTATGTTTACATGGCAACTTGATATACAAATACACCCAACTCATGGAAAGAAAGGGGATGGAGTGGCCCAGGCCCCAGGAGACAAAATGTTATTCTTTTAAAAGTTAGTGTTTTTAGTCAGGTCATTTGCATCTCCCTTTTTGTGGTAAGAGTGCATTGCTTTGGCTTGCAGAG